AAAAAAGGTCATCTAATACTTTTTTTTTTTTTTTTGGTTTTTTGAGACAGGGTCTCACTATGTAGTCGAGACTGACCTGGAGCTCACTATGTAGCCTAGGCTGGTCTTGAACTCACAGTGATCCTCCTGCCTCAGCCTTCTGAGTGCTGAGATTACAGGCATGTGCCACCACGCCCAGCTCATCTAATACTTTATATATATATATATATATTTTTGTTTTGTTTTGTTTGTTTTCTTCTCATTGAGTTTATTGGTACATTTTAGGTATCCAGTATACTTACATTCATCATTGGGATCTTGTGCCTCTACATGACAGGTCTTGGTTCTCATTTTTCCCCTTGTCCCTGCCCTCCCTTCACCCCCTCCTCCCCTCCCTATTTACAAATACTTTATTTCCATTTTTTCATGTTTTTTTTCTTTTCCCTTATTTCCTTTCCCCTAATACTTTATATCTTAATTTCTCATTTGGCCTTCAAATATTCTTTGTAGCTGGTTTGTACAAACCACAAACTGGTCCAGAACCAAATGTTACTTTTTCTTTGTTCATCTGAATGCTTTTGTGGAAGTAGGGATTGGAGCCAGGGAACCCTAAACTGTACCCTAAGACAGTGGTGATGAATCTATGGCACACATGCTGAGGAAGGCTGTTTGTGTCATTAAAGATTCACCATCACTGTGACCTAAGCCCTTTTTATTTTTTCATTTTGAGAGAGGGTCTTGCTAAGTTGCCCAGGCTGGCCTTAAATTTTTGGTCTGTCTTTCTCAGTCTCCCGAGTAGCTGGAGGCATACACTACTGTTCCTGGTTCCCTTTTTTCTATTTATAGGTGTGAGCTACCACATCTGACTCAAACATTGCTTTTAATTATGTTTTACATTTCCTTTTCACCTAGAGTAGTACCTTTTCTTACACTAATTTCTTTTCTTTTTGAGAAAGGATCTTGCTAAATTATTAAGTATCTAGGTCGGGCTTGAACTTGAGATCCTCCTGCCTCAACCTTCCAGGGTGCTGGGATGACAGATGTTATGTCACTTCCCCTGGTCTTATACTGCTTTTTTTTGAAGAGCCAAGGTCAATTGAGTTGGTTGTTGTAAAGAATGTGTTGTCTTTTAGATCTGTTTGCTTCCCCATGTAGGTGTTTAACTTCTCTATGTCGCCTATATTTTATCTACATGAGTCAGCTATAAACATTTAGATTCAAGGTTGAACATTTTTGTTGGAATGCAATGAGCATAATTTTGTATACTTAATATTGTATCACATCAGAAGATATATGATGCTAACAGCAGAAGTGGGCAGTAGGTTAATGTGGGAACAGTCTGTTCTCTCCATTATGCTGTTACATGTTTGTTTGTTTTGTTACTTTTTTGTTGTTGTTTATTTGTTTTGTTTCTTTTTTTGGTACTCGGGATGGAACTTGGGACCTGGCGGAAGCACTGAACTAAATCCCCAGCCCTTGTTACATGTTTTTTGAGGTGTGGTTTGTGTGTGTGTGTGTGTGTGTGTGTGTGTGTGTGTTCAGGAGACAGAAGCCAGAGTCTCATGAATACTAGGGAGGCACTCTACCACTAAACTACACCTCCAGCCCTTATAGTTATGTTTTTATCTTTTGTAAACAGAAAGTAACCTGAGTGCTATAACTTTGATACCATATGAAAACCCAGTTCCTTACTGGCAGTGATAATCTTTGTCTGAATTAATAATTTTATTAGGCAGGATGAAAGGTCTCCTCTGTAGAGCTTTCCCATCTCAGCTGAGGCTATTTGGTTGTAGCAATAGAGTTGTTACCAGAAAGGCAGGATAAATGCTCGATTTTCTCCCTTTAATTATCCACTATCAAAGTAAGGAGTGATATGTGTGATACCAGATGGTGATATGTGTGTTTTTCTTCTAGATTTCTATTATTAGTTATTATGGGGTTCTGGATTTTTAGAGATTTGATGTGTTTTGATCACAAGAGGTTTTCTTTCCTGAAACGTAAATGATTTCTCACATAATCCCTAATGAAATTATTATTCTAGCACAGTTCTTCTCATGGGGAAACTAAAGTGCAGAAGCCTAAGCCACTGGATTCATAAATAAAGGAAAAGCTAACAGGGGAGGAATGTAGGACAGGTAGCCAGGATCACAGCTGCAGGTCTCCATTTGCCTGGGCAATGTGTACGGTGAGTGTTTACAGAAAGGACCTGCTTTGTCCCTTTGTGCAACAGCTGAAAAGAATGGCAGCCCAGAGACAAGACTGAGCATCCCCACTGTTCATCACACTAGGCCGGTTTGCACTCACTAGATCACATCTCTGGGCAAGGGCTGATGGGTTAATCTCTGGAATACAGACATTGCACCAAAGGGATCTTAGTCAAACAGCCATAGGTGAGGTCCACTTCCAGCTGGTCACTGTGTAGGTGAAGTAAAGAATGGTTTCGTACAACTTCAGTGATTTACAATCCATTTGGGAAATTCGGTTAGCAAATATCTGCTGTTAACATGGTGGGACAATAAATGTTACCTATGAAGCCACCAGTACTGAGACTCGTAAGAGGGAGAAACCTCCTGGCACTATAGAAGTCCTGGGGATCACAGTGGAAAAGATGGGTTAGAATGAGGTGCTGAAGAGTGGTGCAAATTTCTCATCTGAAGGTTGAGAGGTGGCACCCATCCCTCTGGGCAGAACCTGCAGGAGAGTGTAGAGCACATAGGAAGTTTGAGTGATGGTTTTGGGGTGGGTTATGTGGTCCCCTGGGCTCCTGACTAAATAGTTACATGGGATTTTGTACTAAGGAATCACTATGGAGTTCTCAGCACAACAATAAAGAAGAAATGATCACCGGGTCCTCGAACTTAATTGTTTAATGACCAGTGTCAGGAACCCATTGAGCTACCTTACAAGTTACTAATAACTAATAGGGAAGGGTTAGTGAGAACATTTTAAGAGGAAAAGTATAGAGCCGTGTGCTTCGGTTTGCATTAGACAAACATACCTAGGATTTCATGCACACCGAGCACACAGTATCTCTGGAGAGTTCCAGTGGCTGGGGTCACCTCCTACTAGAGAAGCTGGGTGCTATGAGCCTGAATCACTAGTGACAGTGTGTTTGGGATCAAATGAGCTAGAATAGGAAGTGGTGTTTCACTTCATTTGGCTTAGTTTGGTTTTTAATCACAGGAGAGTGCGGGCATTGTACAAGAGCACAGGACGTGACATCGCAGCCAGAGTGACCAAACCTCTGCCACCTTCTCCTAGCCAAGGGACTAGGAGGACAAACCCACCAGGGTGCCACTGTGGCTGAGGATGCAATGAGGAGGAGAACTCACCTCAAAGATGCTGTTGGGCGCTGTGAACATGAAACTTGTTAAAAGCGATCCATGTTCAGGAAATAACTTGAATTCTTTAGACTCAGTTTCGATTTTTTTTTTTTTTTGTACCAGGGAATCGAACTCGGGACCTTGCATGTATTAGGCAAATACTCTATTCCTGAGCTGCAACCCCTGCCCAGTTCTGATTTTTTAAACTGGGACCCTCAGAGCTGGTGAAAGATGAAGAGAGCAGACCTGACAGATAGCCTAACTGCTTGGAAGAGCTCTCCTGCATGCTGGACCTGGCAGACAGAAACTCACAGAACCATTACAAAGGTCAGAATCTCCCTCTGTGACTATGTAACTGATACTTATAAAAAGACATACTTATTTTTGTTCTTTTTAAAAATGATGCACAGAATGAGGTTTTCTAACTGCTAGACTGGGTCTTGCTGAGGGGGGGTTGTTTGTTTTTTGTGGTTTTCTTCCTGGGATACTGTGAATCTCAGTCTGCTAAGCAATGCTTTGCCACTGAGCTACACTCTCAGCCTCCTGTTGCTCTTATCTAGGCCCAGGAGACAGAAGCATTACCAACCTGGCTTTCAACTAGTAGCTCTCTGCCTGACATAGTCCCATTTCACAGAAAATTCTGATGAGCTCTTGAATTTCCAGGAAAGCAAACAGTAATACAAAGCACTGATTGACCTCTAGACCCAGGAGGTTCTGTCCAGTATCTTACCGTAGACAGCATTCATGCAAGTTGCTGATGCTTTGGGTACTGCCCTGGAAATGGCATAAAAGCATAGAACACCGGAGAAACTGCCCAACAAAACTCCTCCTTTTGCCACTCACATACAAGCCTGCGTTAGACAATAGGAAAAAAGGATGCAGTTTCATCAGTTGTAATCTGGAAAGTAGCTACACCCTCCTCCCAGGACTTCTCTCTTCTCAAAGTGTTTTCCTTTTGAAAATGAGATTTTATTCCTTTCTCAGACTATAGTCTAGAATTCAGTTAATCCTACATTGTGGCAAAGCTGGCCCTTTTTTCTGAATGGCAGCGTAAATTTACATAGAACTGATGAGTTTTGCTAGATCGAGGACAGGGCTAACACTGTTTTCATTTATCTGATAAAGGCTAACACAGGAAAGTAAACAGATGAAGGAAGAAGATACAAGCAGGAGAATCCATTGTATTTTTAATTCAATGCTAGGAAATTATATTTTGTAGCCATTTCTGCATGCTAAATACTTTGTAGTTATTTCAATACTTAATACAACAATCTTATTAGCATTATTAGACAAATACATAAGACAAGTAAACCTCAAACAAAATGGTCAAATAACTTGCTTAAGGCACACACTGAAACACCTCTCTTTGGTAAGGCGGTCACCTCCCTGAGGACCCCATCAGGCAGGGCCTTGTGTCTCTCCCCTGTGCAATCTGGACCTGCCCCCACGGGAAGGTGTCACCTGATTCTACTAAATATTCCGCTGAATAACTGTACACTCTGCAATCACTTCTCTGAATTTCCCCAAAGAGAGTTTCATTCCTTATCACTCGGCAAATTCATGATAATTTCACAATCCACACAGTCTTGCTAATAGCCTGCCTGCCAGTGCCTTGGCCACCAATCCAGTGAGCTTGACTTTCCACCCTAGAGGTCATTTTGGTGCTCACCAAATCTGTTTCCTCTTCTTCCTGGGCAGACTACATTTTTCCTTCTCCTTTGTAGTTAGGTGCGGCTTCGTGACTGAGTTCTGAACAAAGGAATATGGAGATTACCTCTGTCATTCTCTCCTTCCCTCTCATGTCAGCAAGGCAGATGGAGAGGACTCAAAAGATGGTTCTGAGGCCCTAAAGCAGAAATTCCTACGGAAATGTGAGTTAAGCCATTTAGTAATTTTGAGGCTATTAATAGCCACTCTTTTTCTGAGGTGGGTGTCATACAGGGTTGCCCAGGCTAGTCTTGAATTCCTGGATCCAAGCGATCCTCCCTTCTCCACCTCCTGAGTGCTAGGATTATAGGTGTGTGCCACCATAACCAGCTTGGGTTTTTTGTTTTGCTTTGTTTTGTTTTTTGAGACAGAGTCTCACTGTGTAGCTCAGACTGCCCTGGAACTCACTATGTAGCCCAGGCTGGTCTCGAACTCGCAGCGATCCTCCTGCCTCAGCCTCCCAAGTGCTGGGATTACAGGCATGCACCAACACACCTGGCAGCTTGTTTTAAGTCTATACATTTTGGAATTGTTTGTTACACAACGATTGATGACCCCATCCAACAAAGGACAGTTTGATTGTATTTTTTGCTATTATGAATAAAAGTAACTATGAACACTGTCAAGTGTATCCTTGGTGGACATGAGCCCTTATTGCACTTGGTGCCCTGCCACCAGTTTTTCTATTCTGACTTCCCAGCAGTAAGACAACTTTTCTCACCCTCATCTGCTCCTCCTTTTCTTTGCTTCCCTTTGTAGAGAAACGTCTGGAGTTATCTATATGTTCTGTCCTCACCTTCTGCCTGCTGCTTCTCCCTTGTGTCCCTTCTGTTCTATGGATGTAGCTGTGGCCAGTGTCCCCAGGACATCTATGTCCCAAATGCACTGGGTGTTTCCTGTGCAACTTGACCTTTTCAGCAGCAGACACTCGGGATCTCCCCCACAACCTTTTTTTTTGTTCTATTCATTTGACTTCCCCACTCATCCTCTTCAGCCTCCTTGCATCTCTCAAGGCTGTAAAGACTGCATTGTCCCTGGGCTCTAAGCATTCAGTAGGTGCTCATGTCCAGGGTCAGGGTTTAAATGTCATCTATCTGCTGATGCTTCTTTTGGGGGGCGGGGGGAAGTGTGCAGTACTGAGGATTGCCTCCAGGACCTTCACACTTTTCTTTTTAATCTTTTAAAATTTGAGACAGAATCTTGCTACATCACTAAGGGCTGGGCCCAAACGTGTCCTTTTTCCTGCCTCAGCCTCCTAGAGTGCTGAGATTACCAAGATGTGCCACCACCCCTGGCTGGCTTCCACATTTTATTTTGTTTTTTTAAGACAGGGTCTCACGGGGCTGGGGATTTAGCTCAGCGGTTCTGTGGCCTGTCTTGCAAGTGCAAGGACCTGAGTTCAATCCTCGGTACCAAAAAAAAAAAAAAAAGACAGGGTCTCACTATGTAGTTGAGGCTGACCTGGAACTCAATATATCCACATTTTTTTTTTGGTACCAAGGATCAAACTTGGGACCTTGCACTTGCGAAGCAGGTGGCGGCACCACTAAGCTAAATCCCCAGCCCTGTCCACATTTTTATCCCCATCCTACAACGCTCTCCTGATCTTCAAGCTCTTATGATATAATTTATTTATTGTTCGTTAGAAACGGAGATGGAGTTCTTTGTGCCTCACTCCCAATGTAAAAAGCTCAGAAATTTGTTCCAGGCATCAGTAAGCATGTTAATTAAAAAAATTAATAAGAAAATGATACAACACACCTTACCTCAAGAAACATTAACTATATGGGGATGTAGCCCAGTGATAAAGCATTTGCCTAGTGTATGTGAGGCCCTGGGTTCAATTCCCAGCACTGAAAAATAATTAGCTGGATGGTATCTGAGCCCCTGCAGGGATGTCTATTGCAGAGGATTAAGGTGAGTCCTGGGGGGTAGGGGACACACACGAGTGTTTGGAAGTGTTCTTACGTGGAAGGCTAAGTGGATGTCTTATGTCCCAGACTGTCTGGTCCAAGTCTATGCAGGGCTAAGTGTTGGGTGCCGCCCAACACCAACGTCCTTGCCCTAACATACCGGCCACTTAGGGACTGATTTTGTTTTTGTTTTTAATTTCTTCAGCCCCATATTCACTTGACTCATTTTCTATTTGTGGCTCTCAACCCTGGCCCTTTGTCCCTCACTGGCAGGACTCCTTTTTCCTTCTTCATGATTCCACGTCCCCTGAGACAGAGAATGCTGTTTCCAGCCCTACCCGCCGATTCTGTTAGGTTTGCCAGGACTCACCAATAAGACTTGGACTCAGAAGAGAAACTGGGGCTGGAAAATGTGAGCTACAGATGGGTAGGATTCAGCCCCATGAAGCAATGGAGCCTCTTGAGGAAAAGCAGGGGTCTGATCTGATCACAAGAGCTAGGCAGGAGGTGTCTGGGGGTCTCCTCTCGACATGGAACAGAGGGGAGGGGGCTTGAAGCCCATCTCCTACAACATTTTTGCCAAATCTCATCTCCCAAGGAACCAGGAACCTATATATTACAGTGCTCGAGGGTCAGCCAAGTACACAATTCCATAGGGATGAGTGACTTTGTATTTGAGAACATAGTGATTTGTTTTCACATTTAACCACCTTGAGTCTGTTTCTTCAGCTATAAAAATCAGGAACATAAAAGTATCATACTGCAGGGGTTATTGTGAGAATTAAGAGGTGTTTGTTTTGTAAATTATAAAGTCTTATAAATTGAAAATTTAAGCAGGTTTGGAGGGAAGTACACCAAAATGTTGATAGTGCTTACTTTCAAGGAGTGATCCTAAATAAAGATAGATGTAACCTGAGATTTGACTTTGATTTCTTTTCAATAAGTATATATTACTTTTATAATAGAAAGTAAAGATTCAAAAATATTACAGATAGTATACACTAATCCTATAACTACTTATCCATCATTAATCTATAGCTATGTTTCTATAAAGATGTATATCCTTTCAGGGTTATGCCCCTTTGGAATGGTACTGTTAAAATCATTTTGTATTATGGTTTCCTTTTTTACTGTCAAGCACACATCATTCCATGTCATTAAATATTCTTTGATTACATTTCTCTAAGGATACATGAGGATTTATTTAACTGGTTCCTTCTTGTGGCTAGGTTGTTGCCAGTTTTTCCATATTATAAACAATACTGTGGTGAATATTCTTGTGTCTATTGTCTGATTATTTCCTGAGGACAGCATCTAGAAGTGGAGTTGCTGGATTACAGGAAAGCACATTTCCAGACTTCTGATTCCTATTACTAAACTGCCCTCCAAAAAGATGGTTCCAATTACGTTGTAGCGAATAGTGGATTGTTGAAGACGTTTAAATCCGAGATACTGAAACAATGGCAGTCCGAAATAAACCGTAGGGACTGGGTGGTTCTCGTCAGATGGCCCAGGAAGCCTGTGGAGAAGCTTTGGTCTACCCAAGCTCTCCATTTTCAGTTCTCCAGTGAGAAGCCCGTCAGGTCAGTCTTAGCCCTCTCCAAAGGGACAGATTTCCCTCAGACACCCTTGGAATAAGCCAGACAGCATGGCCGGCTGAGCCAGGCTGGAGCAGCGAGCTGATGGCCCAGGCAGTCCTGCCAGCTTCCTACATGGCACCAGCTGCAAGAGACCCTTTCATGCCTCGTCCTCTCCAAACTGTACTGAAATCAGGCCAAGGATCTGCTAAGACCAGAAGCCCAGACGGCAGCGGGTGCTGCGCACCATTTCTCCTGTTTGCCTTCTGTGCAACCAGGTAACCCCTATCCCTGTTTGAGGTTTTTAAGTCTTTGGGCTGAGCCTTGCCAGCCATACCGACAAGTTCTCAGCACTGTCTCCCCCATTTCCCCTCCAGACCTGAAGGAAATGAATAAGAATTCTTTTCATGTTTCTAAGTATTTTTTGTTGTCGCTGGTATTGTTATCAGAAGTCAAATCTGAAGCAGAAAGGAAGGGAGGCCTCTGGAAAGTCTTTGACCTACTATTTCTTCAAGAGCTCATGGTTCTATCCTGTACTGTAATGTTTTAATATTCCCAAGCTGAACAGCAGACAAGGCGGTAAGGGTGGGGTTGGTTGTGTATGTGGGGAAATCTTTGTTGTGAGACAGTAGGGAAATAGAAAACACCCATGGATTCATAAACATGGCCACTGGCTTTAATAATATCTGAGGAGTCTTCCAAGCGCTGTTATGATCACAGCCCCAAACTGGAACAATTTCTATATCTATCAACTTTAGAACAGATAAACAGATAGTGGTGGATTTGCAGCAATAGAAAACCAAACTTTCCTCTCACTGCACACGGGAGAGGGTCACAAACACAGGCCTGGGTAAAAGACGCCTGACTGAAGAGCTCAAACTGAATGATCCTGTTCATGTAAAGTTCAGCAATAGGCAAGAGGTAATTGTAGTGTTTAGAAATGAATGCCTGTTGAGTAATAAACTATAAAGAAAAATAAAGAAAGTCAGGATAGTGGTTACCTTTCATTGATGAGATGGTAGAGGATGGTTGGGAAAGGGCTCGTGGGGGCTTCTGGGTGCTGGTGATGAGCTCCTTCCTGCTTTTTTTAAAAAATAAAGAAAACAGGCTTATGTTGATCCAAATCATGAGCTGTTTCTTGACCTGCTAGGTAATTACATGGACTTTTTTACTTTAAAATAACTCTTTAAATTGAATTCTTATGTTTTAAATGTACATTTTTCAGTATGTGTGTAGTTTTTTTCAATTTAAAAATTATGGAACTTTTGAAAAAAAGTCAGGGTCTTGCTATGTTGTCCAGTAGTTTGATCTGAAACTTCTGGCTGAGAGCAATCGCCTTGCCTCAGCCGACTGAGTAGCTGAGACTCCTGGTGTGAATTACTACACCTGGCAGTCTGGATTCTGTGTCCATGTATGTTTATAAAGAGAAAGGAGCAGCGTTTCCTGGGGGAAGTCACAGCTGAGCAAAGACCGTGATGTGCATCAGTGATGTGGACCCTATGAGTCTGTATTTTTTGAGCCACCGTGGTGGGTGACAGTAATTCCAGGATAGAGCAGAACGAGAGGATCAGCCTGAAGTAAACAGTCGCGAAGCTGTTCACGTACTTACCTTGTTTAGTCTTGCCAAGGAACGTCAGCTCAGGACAGAGGCTCAGGGCTTGGCTCTGCGCACGGTGCTACCCTAGCATGCAGTGAGGCCTGGTATTGCAATAAAAAACAAAACAAAATGAAGGCTGGGCGTGATGGTGCACGCCTCTAATCCCAGCACTGAGGGATGCTGAGGCAGGAAGACAGCATGCTCAAATCCAGCCTGAGCAATTTAGCAATTGAATGAGATCCTGTGTCAAAATAAAAAATAGAAAGGGCTAGGGTTGTAGCTCAGTGGTAGAGTACCCTTGGGTTTGATTTCCCAGGATCACAAAAGAAGCATTTCAGTTTAAAGTGTGTGTGGGGGTGCCCAATTAGAAGTTCCTCTGAGCCCAAGCCTGAGATCAAAGGAGAGATTTAGGACAATTTTAACTGGCTTTATTTTTTATTTTGGAATCAGGCAGTACTTTAATCCATAAAATAGAGTAAATGTTCCAAAGAGGCTAGAAGAAGTTTTATAAACAGAAAAGAACTAAAGAAAGCAAGACAAAAATATAGAGATTGGTCATTTCAGAGTTACTTTCCTTTGTAAATCAGGGACAGGGAGACAGAATAAAAAAGTAGCCGATAAGCATCAGGTTATTTCAGGTTGTTTATTTTATGTAAGGATTAAGGAAGAGAGGGGATTTCATAGAGGGAAATTTGGCCATGATCTCTTTAAATCCTGATTTTTTAGAAGGTCAGATAAAATAGCTTAGTTTCTGCTTGGTAAAATGGAATATTAGCATGAGTGACTCCATTTTGATTTTTGGCCTGGTTGGCTGGGCCTAGTGTCGATTCAAAACAACAGCCTCCTGTAATTGTACTGAACAGAATCTCTAAGATGTACAAGAGGCTGATTCACTCCTGTTTGTGGATGAGGTAGCCAACTCTCCCATGGCGAGGGAGCTGTGTGGCTGGCTCCACTGGTGCTGGGGAGAAGTCAAGGATGTCTAGGCTGTCTGTCCTTAGCTCTCAGTCGTGGACATCAGAGAGCAATTCAGCCGCTGATGGTGAAGATATACTCTAGTTCATGTGGACTGTATTGCTGGCAGGCTTTGGCATCAGAAACGGGATTAATTCAAAGTAAAGTCTCCCCTCAAGTATTTTTTAAAAAAGGCCAACTGATAAAACTCAGGAAAGGAACTAAGAAAATGCAAACAAAGAATAGTGGTTGGATGATTCATGAGGTGGGGTTCTTCTTTCTGGAGAAAAAAATTGTTATAAGATTATAATCTGCCTGTGGCTGTCTTGTTCTTTAATGACCACGTTCTCTTTCAGAATTATAATTGTGGGTTAGGCCTGGGAAGGGAAAGGGTTGAAGCAAGGACTTTTATTACATGCCGGTCCATTGTCTGCAGCCCTCCCTGGAGGACTGGACATGACCCCTCTGCCCAGCCCACAGCTAAGTCACAATTGTCATTGGCTTGGCATGTGACTCATTATGTTCTTCTACCTTTGAGGACACAAGGAGGAAGAGCTTTTGGTTTGCTCCAAGAAGCAAAAAGGTGGTCCAAAGGGCATTATTTGCAGGTCATATTATTTCTAGGCCCAGTAGAAGTTTCCTCATAGCTATTGTGAACACTTTGATTGTTTTAACCAATAATAGCCTGGGGGCAGCCAAGAGCTTTTCTTCAGACAGGAAGACCCCAGGAAGAGCTGTCAATTAGTAACCATTCACAACGAACAATGGGTGAGTGTCCCTCATTTCCAGTATTATCAAAGAGCTGAAAAGTCTGAATGTCCAACTCTGACAAGATTCGGGCGAGGGAAATAGAAAACATCATTCTTTGCTTAATATGCTCTGAATGGGTTTGCTTAAGAAAATACTTTCTATCATCAATCAGAAAATAAGTTTAATACCCATGAAGTTAGATTTTTAAAAATTCTTTCCACAGGGAGAAGTGAGCAGTAACAGGTGATGGGGTGAGGGGTGGATAAAATAGCAATCCCCAGATTCTAGTCAAACATGTGTGACTGGAAAACTGGGTGGGGACTGGTAGGGTCCGAAAGGGATTTACAGATAGAATTTCCCTTTCTGGGGTCTCAGTGGGGTCTCAGTGTCTTCCCGTGTGTCTCATTGGTAGTGTACATGTTTAGCATGGGTTTGATCTCCAGTACCATGCACAGAATCTCTTCAACAACAATAACAACGACAACAAAAAGAGATGTACTCATAATCTATGGCTCATTCTGGCTTTGGAACCTGTTTCCCTGGCATTGAACCTGGGATCCTCAAAGTATTTGTGTCCTTGGGCCTGAGCCCTTAGATTTCCTTGAACTTAAATGTAAAATGGGATGTAATAGTATCACCGGTATGAGATTGGGGAGAAATCAAATGATTAGTTGATGAAAATGATAAATACTCAACAGATGTTAACTATTAATTGTCATTAAGGCTGTGACATCACAATAGCTTAGTAGCACAAATTAGCCAGAAGTATCAGTTTTTAATTAGCTGTGTGATATTGGGGCTAAATTTGCTGATTTATAAAATGAGGAATTTGGATAGCATAAGATTGAAATTGGCCTTAAAATTGCAGAGTTACACTCTTTGCATTTTCTTCCCCCACCCCGCCCACCTTTGCTTTCTTTCTTTCTGGAGATTGGACTCACTGTGTAGCCCAGGCTGGCTTTAAACACATGGCAACCCTCCTGCTTCAGCCTCCTGAGAGCTAGGATTACAGACATGTGCAAGACAATGACAAATTTTAATTAGGGATGTTATAAGAGAACTACAAGCATGTTCACTATGGGATTATTTAAATAAGGAAAAACTGGAAAAAGTGCTGGTAATCAAAACAGCGCAGTGGTGCAACCTGGAATTTGTGCTACTTGGGAAGCTATGGTGAGAGGATCACAATTTGGAGGCCAACCTGGGCAACACAGTGGGACCCCCCATCTCAAAACAAAACAAAAAAACCTCAGGGCCGGGGATTTAGCTCAGTGGTTCTGCTGCCTGCCTCACAATCATAAGGTCCAGAGTTCGATCTCTGGTACCAAAAACAAAAAAATTCCAAGGATTGGTTGAATAAATTATGGTGTATGTATAAAGCGGAATGCAGTCATAAAAAAATTATTAACAAGGAACTTATTGAATGGTAAGGTGCTTCTAATATATTGTTGAATGAAAAAGATTTCTTTGTTGCAGGGGACTGAACCCAGGACCTTGCACATGCCAAACGTGCTCTGCCACTGAGCTACACCTGCAACCCCTCTTTTTTATTCTATTTTTAAAAATTGTTTTAATTTTAATTTTTTTTTTTTTTGAGACAGGGTCTCACTATGTAGTTGAGACTTACTTGGAACTCACTTTGTAGCCCAGGCTGGTCTCGAACTCACAGCGATCCTCCTGCCTCAGCCTCGAGTGCTGGGATTACAGGCGTGCACCACCACGCCCGGCAACTCTCTTTTTATTCTTTAAACATGTTTGACAGCAAATCAGAAACTCTACCATCAGGGTTAAACGAAACCCTTACGAGGTAGGGGAATCCCTGAGTGTTCAGTGGGTTTGATTGAACCAACGATGTCTTTGAGAACCCAGTCCTTTTGCCACTCTGCGTCCTTGAGTGTGTGCTATGGTCTCAGGATGGCTTCCCAGGGGCAGGCACCACTGTCCTCTTATAATGTACTGTGTAACTAAAAGGTGGACAGAAAAATGGGCTTGTTTCCTGTGTTTCTCTCCTAGATAAAAAAAATTACAGCCAGTAATTATCCCAACAGGCATCTGATTCCTTTTCATTGGCCAAGATGAGACCAAGTTAACTATTCCTAGACCAATCACTGGCAAAGCAGATGTCAGGCTTAGATTATTCATAGAAGAAGACAGCAGATTCCACTAACTTGTTCCCATCAAATCACATACTGTCACTAGCTTTATTGTGCTTTTAATGAACCCAGTTCACGGAGCAACGATTTAAGCATTTGGGACAGAATGTAAAACTTGTGTAGTGAGGCCACAGACTGCTGGGGCCTGTTTTCCTTATAGGCCATTTCTTCCATTCCTGTGACTTCTGGCCCAGGCTTTTGCTTTCTTAACTCTCTTTTTCTTTTCTCATGGTTCTGGGGTTTGAACCCATGGCCTATGCATGCAGCTACATTCCTAGTTCTTAAAAAAAAATTTTTTTTTTTTAAATTTTGAGATTTTCTCACTAAATTGCTGAGGCTGGGGGCTTGAACTTACAATCCTGCCTTAACCTCCCAGAGTACCGGGATGACAGGCAGGCACCACCACTCCCAGCCCGTTCTTATTCTCATCTTTTAAATATTGGTAGCTCTTCGTTTGAGTTCCAATTTCTCCACCATTCTACTTGGTGATTCATGGCTTGTGACTCCTCCCTTGATTTCTTCCTCTCCTATATCCTTGCTCACCCTCTGCAAACGGAATCAAAATGCGAAGCAGATTCTGGGCAGGGACCCCACTGACCAACTAGAGTATATTTCAGGCACAAGTCAGTGTTTGAAACAAGTCTTTCCACATGATAGCCAAAACCCGATCGCTAGGATTCTCCTACTGACAGGGTGTGAACACGCGCACTGTCCCTGCGATGTCACTGCGTGCGGTTGCGGTTGTGGGGAGGTCAGCACAATGATGTACTGCGGCGCTCCAGGGACGGAGGAGAGCCCTGAGGAGAGCGGAGCCAACACTTCCTCTCTGGCATCCTTTCCAAAGGGAGTCGCCCCACATTCACACTCGGACAACACGTGTGCTGAGGAGGCGGTACGATGACAGCTTTAACGGTGTTGAGAAACCCACATGTCTGGACAGAGCCGCACACTGCGGCGTCTGTTTTACAGGCCTAGCCCTAGAACAAGACCAAGCAGGGGCCAGGCCTGGAGGGCACCCTGCCCCAAGCAAGGCGCAGCAAGGTCATGGGAATGTGTGTTCGGCTGAGCTGTTCTTTCACCACTGTCTGCCGTGTTACTGGTTGTGACATGCACCAGAGCAGCCTGCGCCCCTCATTCCGCGGGCATTCGTTAGAACAACGCTCACCGAGAGCTCATCTGGATGTCAGGCAGCCTGGCAGTAACTTTCCACCTTCA